CGTGTATGTCTGTGTGGGTCTCTGACTATCCTTTATTTTCTAGTGAACTCAGCAATGTCTTTAAAATATGTCACTGGCCTGGTGCAGTGGCTCACACCTGTAATCCCAGCACTTTGAGAGGCCAAAGGGTGTGGATCACTTGAGGTCAGGAGTCTGAGACCAGCCTGGCCAACATGGTAAAACCCCGTCTCTATTAAAAACACAAAAATTAGCAGGGCATGGTGGTATGTGCCTGTAATCCCAGATACCCAAGAGGCGGAGGCAGGAGAATCACTGGAACCCAGAGGGCAGAGGCTGCAGTGAGCTGAGATTGCGCACCACTGCACTCTAGCGTGGGCAACAGAGCAAGACTCCTTCTCCAAAAAAAAAGTTACTGTACTTGATCTAGGATCTTGTGTATTATAGTCAGAAGAGTACCTTTCAAATGTCTCTTCTGCCACCTGACTGGAAGTGAAAGTCTCTGGTCATCTCTTCTCTTCCATGTCTGCTTGCAGTTGATTTTCAAAAGAAGCTTTGAACTTGCTCCAGTCCTCTGCTTCTACAACCCCATTAATTCCATCTGCTTTTCACATTTGGCAAAAGATCAAAGTCCTTGAGTAAATCCCTGGGGAGGACAACTACTCTACATGATATCCTCTAGATTTAGAGCCATTAGTTCCAGAGAGACCCCTAGTGCACCAGGTAAGAGGCAGAGACGACGCATGCTCATTATACTCTAGTGGAACACCTGATTAATTGGTTAAGCAAACAAACAAAAACCAGCAGATGGCCATGTCGTAAACCTACACCTTGACTTGTTAGTTGCAAGCCTTGCTCATTCTGGGTCTGAACTCGTGATTTCCCACGAAAAGTTTGATGTTTTCCAACTATTTGACAAGAGAATGAATACCAGGTTTTATTTGAGATGAACAGCACGTGGTTTTGCTGAACCACGTGCTTTAAACTTTTAAAATCAGGTGGCTCTGGTGTATGCTAAATTATGCTAATTGTGATATCATTACACATAAATTCGGCTAAAACTGAAAAATTGCAGGCATTTCAGATGTATCACATGTTCATTTTAATGAATGATTTTTAAGAAAGTGGCTAGAAACTCACCTTCCAGCATGTTCGGAATGGCTAGTTTCTTATAAGCATTCGTCACCCTATAATGGCGACCCCTGTGGTGGGAAGCATTTGACACCAAGTCAGTGCAGCTGGCTTGCACCATCGTGAATAACATTGCACCAAGTTATTAATAATTGAAGGAGCTTGTCACTTCCTGCTGAGTTTTGTGCGTAATTTATGGATTATATAAACCCATGCTAAAATCTCAGGGAAGGTTAATTTCATCAGATGAAGAAAGAGAGACATTTATGTTTTAATTCTCACTCCCTGAAGTTATGTCTGTATACCTGTTTTCATCCAGAAATATTGTCGGCGGATGTATTCGTTTTCTGTCTTCATCACAGTAAACTTCCTTCTTCGGGAGTGACAGGGAGATATTTAAAATTGCTGCTTGAAGCATATTTGAGACTGTCTGGGCCACCTCACTCCACAACCACAAGGCTCTCTGAGCTTGTATTTCTGTGAAATGGGTGGGGTAGGCCGGTGTTCTAAGAGGTGGGCCATGGACCCTCTGTTGGCCTGCAGCATGACTCTAGGTGGTACCAGAGACTCTGCCCCACACAACATCACATCAGGGGCTGTTGAATCATTCTTTTTTCTACCCTCCCTTTAATCCATGGGATCTCTGTAAGAAGAAAGTTTCCATTTGGATCCACCATATATTTTAGTCTAATGCTGCTAATGTCCCCATTTAAGAAAGAGAGAGACACCTCAGACTGGAAGCCACACCTTTTGTGATAGTGTGGAGCTTCAGCTGAACATCACTGCTTTGGTTCTACTGTATTTCTCCCCCTCCCTAAAACTATGTATTTAAAAAAATATTCAAAGTTATGAAAAAAGGGAAAGAAAGTCACAATGAATAGTAGAGATTCTTTACCTAGATTCACCAGGAATCAGCACTGGGGAGCACTTGCTTCATTTCCCACTCATGTTTCTCCCCCTCTCTGTGTTCAGAGGGGGATCACGTTCTGTTTAACTGGTAGTGATGTGAGTTGTAAGCCCCAAGTTATTTTTTAAAAGAAGCATTCAGAAGTGAACTGATTTATTAAAAGCTAAACATAGCTCACTTTACTCATTCAAGTATGCTTAGATTTACTATGAAACTTTTTGATGTTCAGTGGGTGAATTGTTTTTGTATTTTACAGTAGTTCCCTCAAATGACAAAGATCAAGAGAACCCTAGGAGACTTTCGTTTTCATTTGCTTTAATAACTATTAATAGCTAGCTGTATGATTAATTACATTTACCAAGTTTCATATTTGGTAGCACCTCAAAGTAATCTTATCTCGGCCATCTTTATGCACCCAAGACACAGCCAAGAAATAGGAAGTCTGCAGAAAACAGATATGGAGGAGGCCAGACCCCAAAGCTCAGGGGCTGTGTTCACAGGCAGAAGCCCTTGAGGAACTCCTCTGGAAGGACCTGTTTCCTCTGACTTGGTGCTGGGTTTCCATACGCCTCCTGGCCCAGAATAGAAAGTGAAAACAAGACTGCTCAGAGTGAACAAGTCACAGCAGCAGGAAGCCACAGGATTCGGATGGCAAGTCAACATGATCAGGCACCGCAAAGAACCTTCCTCTGTGCTCAGGACGGTCCGTTTAATCCTCACACAGCCCCATAAGGTAGATGAGGAAGCTAAGCCTTCAGGAAGTAAAATGGCCTGCTCAGATATGAGCACAGGCACGTGTGGCTTGCAAGCCAGGCTCTGTCCATAAGGATTTAGGGGAGGTGGTGTGCATCTGGGATCACAGAGCACGGGACGCAAGTTGGGACCCTTCTGGGATTCACTGGAACTTCAGTCTACAAATGCATACATTGTAAGTGCTGAGGTTCATCATGAGGCTCTTGGACATCTAGCAAAGTCTGAGTTTCGGAGCCTCTCCCCCCGTCTAAATTTAGGAGAGTGCCACTGGCCCTGGGACCCCAGGAGAGCAACTCCTTCGCCTCACTCCCTACCGCACCCTTTCATCAGGGGCTCTTTCCCTTCCCCTTTCACCTTCCATATGGGACACAACTGAAGTCAGCCTGAGCCTCAAGACCCATGAGGGTGACAGGAGAAAGCCAGGGTAGAGATTATCACTACTGTTACCTCCTTGGTGGTCCTGACCCCATAGCCCTTCTACCAGTGCCGTATCCTCAGGCAGTGCCCAGTGAGTCATGGTGGTGGAGACCCACAGTGACTTCCCAGGCTTCATACTCGTGGCCACACAATTCCATCTGCTGCTGCGCTTCTCAGTATATCTGTTGTGTCCACTGTACTGGCACAGCGGTAGCTACTGGGGACCTAGCAGTAACCACACCCTGTCTTGTGGATCCAGCTCTCTAATGGGACACGTCAATGGACATCATCACCACGCAGTTTACGATGATGGTAGGGAGTGCCCTCTATGGAGGGAAAGTAAGAGTACTTATAGCTGGGGTCACCTACGCAGGAAAAGTATGGTCGTGTTCCCCAGAACGCTTAGCAATGGATCACAAGGTAGATGAGCTTACAGGAAACCGGACCAGTGTGGCACAGTAGAACAGCTCTCATCCCTGCCAAATCTTCAGCCCTATATCCGAGGTCGGATGCCATGTCTTCCACAGAATATTCCCTGGTATCTACCCTTCGTCCCCTTCAGCTATAAGTGACTCTTCTCTCCTGCAAGTATTAATCCCTCTGAAAGCTGGGTGCCAGTCAGGCAGCTGCCTCCCAGACCCGAGGAGCGTGCGCCCTAACCAGGAATAAGCTTCACAGCCATTGCTCTCAGGCCAAGCCCTGGTCCAGGCACCTGCAGGCATTAACTCGTGTCCACAGCCCAGCAGCCACGGGGAGCAGGTGTAGTTACTATTCCCTCTTTGCCGATAAGGAAGCGCAAGGGATGTAAGTGCATCACGCAGACGTAAAGGCACGAAGAAATTATCAGAGGTGTGATGAGCACTGCAGAGGCTTGATAGGCATGAGTAGCAGGGACCTGGTTATAAGGAAATCACAAAGGAGTGGGGGTCTGGTGATGTAGCTAAGACCTCAAGTTTGAGAGTCAGACTTTGATTCGGGCCCTACTCTGCTTAGCTGTGTGACTTTAAGTAAATCCCTGAACCTCTCCAGGCTTCACTTCAAGACACTGTAAAATAAGGATGCTAATAGCCACTTCACGGAGTTAAACACGGTCCTCTGCGCAGACGTAGCAGAGCGCCTGGCAGGTGTTGAGTTCGGGAAATCATAGCTTATTGCTCTCTCGTCTGTGACGTGACCCTGACTTGCCTTTCTGTTCGGCTGCAGCATTGCTGTGGCGGTGTCTATATCCGATCCAACCCCATGTCCCTCCCCCAGGACCCTCCCTAAGGTCATTGCATTTCTATGAGGCGCTCAGTGAATATTTGTAGATTGCACGAACAGGGAAGGGAATGCATGAGTGAGTAGCTGTCACCACATGGCAGGTATCTTTGCTGAACACTGGTTTAGTCTTCTGACAAAAGCCTCGTAATGTAGCAGCTTCAGACAAGAGCAGGCTTTTTTCTCTGAAGTACCCAGCCAACATCGTCTGGCGGTGGCTGACTCCGTGGTGTTGGCGGGGACACGAACCAAGTACAGCTTGATTTTTATGGTTTAATGTAAGAGACGGAGCCTCCACTGCTGTCACTTGAGAAGACTGTTGTTTTGATGTCTCAGCCACACAAATGGAGTGAAACTGCCAATGATAGGAGATAAGCAGGGCAGGCTGAGGTGTCAGGATTTAGGACCTTGCCTTCAAAGCAGAGCCATGTGTTGCCCCACGGTTTGCGAGTGGCTCCGTTGAATGCAAAGGGGCTGATGTTTGAATGCAGGCGGGCTGCCGGGTGCCCCCATCCGAGGAGGTCTGACTGTGTCCCCTCTTTGTCTCCCGTCCTTCCCCACTGTCCTCGCTCTGCAGGAACGGCATCACCAGCTGCCGGATGCGGACTGAGAGCGAGCCGTCATGTGGCTCCCCCGTGGTCAGCGGAGACCCCAAGGAGGATCACAACTACAGCAGTGCCAAGTCCTCCAATGCCCGGAGCACCTCGCCCACCAGCGACTCCATCTCCTCCTCCTCCTCCTCGGCCGACGACCACTACGAGTTTGCCACCAAGGGGAGCCAGGAGGGCAGCGAGGGCAGTGAGGGGAGCTTCCGGAGCCATGAGAGCCACAGCGACACTGAAGAGGACGAGAGGAAGCACAGCCAGAAGGAGCCCAAGGATGCTCTGGGGGACAGCGGGTACGCATCCCAGCACAAGAAGCGCCAGCACTTCGCCAAGGCCAGAAGGGTCCCCAGCGACACACTGCCCCTCAAAAAGAGACGCACCGAAAAGCCCCCCGAGAGCGACGATGAGGAGATGAAAGAGGCAGCGGGGTCGCTCCTGCACTTAGCAGGGATCCGGTCCTGTTTGAATAACATCACCAATCGGACGGCAAAGGGGCAGAAAGAGCAAAAGGAAACCACAAAAAATTAAAAACAAGTCACTGATTTGTTTTGAACTTACGGCCATTTGGTTTCAGCATGTCAGGAGATTTCTAATGATTTGTGGCAATATCAGCAATTATTTTTCTTTTTTCTTGTTTTGTTTTTGGTTTGGTTTTCTTTCTTTTCCTTTCATTTTTATTTTTTTAATTTGCCCCCTCTTCTTTGTTTTGGACCCTTAAGAATTTTATTTTTAAAGGAGATTGAAGCCATAGAACTCATATTGACACTCAGCTGTTTTACAAAAGCTTTTCATTATCTGAAGACAAAAACCGAAAAAGCCAAAATTACCATTGCTTCCTCCAGCTTGTCAGAAACCTGTGGCTGAATCCGCAGGGATGTCAACGTCAATGTCGCAGGAACACACATTCGGCACCTAGAAGGCACCTGTGCAAAGTAGTCATCGTCCAGGCCCAACCCTTAGGTTTAAAATGTCAGGTTGTCCATCCCATTGGGTTCACTGAGTGAAGGCACATAAAGCAATTGAGGAGAAGGAGGAACCTCTCATCTCCCTAGGAGCAGACCCAAGCCTGTGGCTCCAGGCATCTGATGGTGCCAGGAAAGCCGCTGGAATTGTCACACGGCAAGCACAGAGGGCCGGCCACCAGTCCTCCGTGCTTCCAAACGCTGAAGCCCGATGACGTCTTACGAGGTGGACATTGGACTGTTCATGTACATCGGGTGTCAGTGACTCATGGAGAAGAAATGGGGTAAATTTTTAGTGATGTTGCTAATCATCGAATTCTGTTCTCTATTAAATTAAGAAAATGTTCCAAAAGCCATAAGCCTGAAGGTTGGCCCTGTGCTCACACACACACACACACACACACGACAGAGACACACACAACATACCACACACAACATACCACACACAAGAAGGAGAGTGAGAGAAAACTGATACAGAAAGCAAGCTGTGTATTCTTAACTGCCCAAATGAAAAGCAACCAAGTCCAGGAAATTACAGTAGCTGTTAAGGAAAGGAAATAATGGTATAAATCTTTTTCTATCAAAACTATTTGATCCAAGTGAAAAGAAAATCATAAACAGGAAGCTATAGGACCTGCCATGTGTATTGTGGTGTATTTTTAAAAGATTAAAGGCAAATTGACGGACAAAAAAAAAAAACAAAAAACAAAGTAAAACATGGCACAAAAAATAAAATAACTCCTATACTGTCCTCAAAATGGAGTTTGCAATTAATGTCAGTCAGGATTCATCTTTGCAAAAATCAGTGATTTCCACATTCAGCCAGTGTAGCCAGCAGAAATTTCTGATCCACAATGCATGGATTCCTTTGAAGAAAAAAAAGAAAAAAAATCACAAAAACAAACTTTTTTTATTCAAAAGTAACAAAGTTCTTGTAAGGTAAATAATGTATTTAGCATGAAGCATGAATTATTTTCATATAAATATAGAAAATAGAGAAAAGGTGATGCCTCTAATTTTTAAGCCCTTACGCTTAGAGGTTCTTTTGGTTTTCTTCTTTTTTTTCTTTCCTTTGCTTTCTTTTTTTCCTTTTTTTTTTTGTTTGTTTGTTTTTGTTTGTTTGTTTGGTTTTGTTTTTTCTTTGTTTTTTTTCGGGTTATTTTGTTTTGGTTTTTTGAAGCAGGTGTTTAAGGTTTAACCTTCTTCAGGGACAAATTCTGACTGTTGGGGAACTTACTCTGCAATATAAAAATATCTTCACGCTCTGGTAGGGCTTGGATGGTTGAACTCTGTACTGCCTTGTGTGCACTCCAGCCCCGACCCCCTCTGATTCTCTGTTGAAAGTGTGTCCTTTTTCTCTGTCTGTACATGTTTAACATGACGCAATAATTTGAGGGCAAACTTAGTAGTGAGTGTGTATGATAGAATCAAGAGAATTATGGGACGCTTACTTGAGAAAATCATTACCATGATTTGGTTCTAGGAAAAAGGCAGTGAATAATTATGCAAATTAGCCAGAAGAAGGGGAACCGTGCTAATGGGCCTTATTGGGTGAGGGGACGAGACGGGGTTCGTGTGAAGGAGGAAACGATGGCGAGGTAGGAAAGGCCAGCCCCAGACGTTCTGTCGCCAGGATGCCATGTAGGAAGCAGGGGCCGGCTGTCGCTACCACTTCAGCACTCTGACCAACCTGGAATTAAGACCACCTAGAATTAAGACCACCTAGATGGGGAGAGCTGAGTTTAGAAACCAGACGATGTCATGCAGCCAGAAACTCCTGTTGTTACCTTTGCCTAAGACATTTTCTTGGGGGCGCTCCAAAGAGAAATCTCTAAAAGAATACGATCTTCCATCCAAGTGGAGAGAAATTTTAAAACGCAAACACCCACTACTGTGGCTCAGGATACAATGGGTGAGGAGAGGGAGGGAACGGAGATGACCTTAACTTTGAAAAAGGGGACTGCTGTGGGTCAAAGCCAAGCCCATCTGCCAGGATCAGGTAGTGTCAGAAGCTCCACCACCCCAGACAGTGGGAACTAACTGGTGCATTCCCCACACTTACCTTCTGGTGGGTTGCTGATGAGAGAACCTGAAGAAACCTACACCTCTATACAGCAGGTCCAATTCATGACCTGAAGCTGAATGATAATTCCAGCATCTTTTTTCAGGGTCTAGATGGGAATCAAATATTTTTTGCAGTGCTCTGTTCCCTCTGTCTCCCCAAACATCTGACACCCTAAAAGCCATCCACAGCTATGGAGCCTGAGCGACACCTTGATTTGTGTTGTCACCTGACCAAGCCTAAAGACCTCCAGCTCAGTCTCCCACCTTCATCCCACCCCGCCGACGATAAAATTCAGACCTCTCTCCTGAAAGGCAGAGGTTAATAACATTCAGGACTGTTTCTGGCCGTGGACTTCTTCCAATTCACCACCCCCTCGCCCCCGCCACAGTGGGCTGTCTCCCCTCATTTCATTTTTCTAAAGGGGCAGAGGCCTCTTTTAGAAAATAATAAAATGCAATGTGTGTGATTTACTTTTCTGATCTCTTTAAGAAATAGAGAAATATCTTATAAAAGTGTGTTCTTAACTCCAGAACCACTCTTTTTGCATAAATACCTCATCGGGCAGCTTTCTAAGTGTGATTTTCCTGAGTCTCCCTTCGTTGGATCTGCTGGAAGACTTGTTGGGGAACCTTTAGTGAGGGTACTTCTTCCTATTTTTCTTCTGTTTTTGGAGGCATACACATTATGCATAACCAAAACAATGGCTCAATTGTGTTAGACTTTGTATTTTGATTGTTGAGAACAAAAACAAAAAGTATCAATGTGTATGTGGCTGTTCTTAGTGAATTCATTGCAGAATGAGGTTGTCCATGTCCTTAACAAGCCAAGGGGCAGGAGGCACCCTCTCTCATCCCCTCCTCCAAGAGCAGTAGAGAATTTAAGCACAAGCCTATTTGTGAAAGAATATTTTGCTTAAGTGTCGTTCACTTTCGTCTTGGAATTCCTTCCCAAATGCCAGGTGTTCTTTTAGCTTCCAAACTAGCCTATGTATCCATTAGTCTGACAGATCACCTGAACACCGTCAAGAGGTGTGGTGTTTTGCTTTCATTTCTCCTGCTGGGAGAAGTGGCGGTTCATGTGTCATTCCAGTATCTCACATACTCAACACGGGGCAGGGGGGAGGGGGCAATGGGGAACTATAGCAATATTTAAAGATGCTTTGGAAACCAACCGTGAACACATCAGCACCATGACATCTACGATTACTTGCTATTGGCCCTCGGACACATTTAAGAGAAAGAGACAGTCACTCTTTTTTTCTTAAATGATATACACATAGTTATTTTTATCCTGTTATAATTGTCTTATCTTTGTCTAGTACTATGTGGAAAGGGTTTGCATCATAGATTTTTCCCAGCCTTATAATCTGCCATAAGCTCCTACTTTCCTTCCCCTCTCTAATCAGTATTCTTTTCAAGAGTTCTTAGGTGAAGCCATCTATCTGAAACTAAAATGAACCAAACCCATGTTTCACTGGTGGTTGGAGAAAACCATAGCCAAAATGACTGTTGCAGGTCTCAATCTTGGGAGTTTTTAAGAAGGAATGTGCCAGAGGCCTTTCCCAGGAACAGAGTTTTGTTTTGTTTTGCTTTGCAGAGGCACTCAATGTGTCTAGTGCTTGCTGGTCACAGCAGTTACTACTGGGGAGCCTTCTGGGAGGGGTTGTTGTGTTGAAAGAGGCTTCTGCTGGAGGGAACAGCATCAGGCAGTGGGCTCTGTAGAGTAAGAACCAGGAGGATGGCTTCTGTGTCCAGCCCAGAGCTGGACACAGCTGCACCACGCCAGGACTGCCCAACCTGAGGGCTCCTGGTGCAAGCTCCACTCACCCCACTCTGTGTGCGGGAGCCTTTCACCTCTACTGGAAGGGCTCTTGGAGAAGGAATTGGAGTTATGTACAAGTGACGTAAATGGGAAGGTTTTGTAGATGAGATTGGATTAAGTTCCATGTGATTTCTCTTTCCCTTTAAACTTAATTCAGGTTGGGACTCATTTCTTTCTGGTGGATCACAGCTGCCCAGATGTTGCAATTGATTTTTATGTTTCTGTAGAGAAGTATTTTTCTTTCACCTTCAGGAATTTTTTTTTTTTTTACCACCAAAAGAGAACATTGGAACTCTGTGTTTCCTCTTGATTGTGACTTCCCAGTGTTGACAGTTAAGTCCTTAGTGTCGTAGGTCCCAGCCCACCAATACTATATCAAACACTGTTATGCACATAATGCAGCACTGTGATCTAATTTAAATAATACTTTTTTATTATTTATACTACTATATATAATATACATCAACACTTTTGCTATATAACCTAAGTGATAACCCTCTTTTAGTTACCTGCCAAACTCTGGACTTGGTTTATATTGCAGTTAACACAGTTACAAAGTTGTAATGGTGTCTTCTTTTCCTTTGTAACGGAATGTGTAAATCAAAGTATATACATTGTGTGGTGTTCCTGTTTCTGGAGTTTCATGAGGATTTACACATGGCATTCAGTGTTCTGTATAGCTCTGCCTACCTTTGTGAATTCATCTGTTAACCCCTCTTCCTTTGAGAGAACACCGGCCGTGGTGGTGAACTCCTTGTGTTTTCTCTCTCTCCTACTGGTTATTCTTGAATTAAGCACAGACTCGTCAGCTCGGTTGCTTTATCATGAATAATGTGTGTGACCTTGAAGTTCTTCCACAGTTCAGCAAACAAGTGCTAGCTTCACTGACCAAAAATTAAGGAAGGAAAACACAATTTTTAAAACGATCCATCTTTTAACAGCCGAAACCGATGTGTCTATGGTGCTGCATCTTGCTGTCGTACTTCTGAAATCAGACCTGTGTGAACGATCATTTCTGACTTAACCATGAGATGCTCACGAGTACCCTTCCTGTTGTTTTGTTAGCGTTGGAATCAAGACTATTTATTTGGAATATATACAACAGTGTTTTTCCACTGTATTTCATTTGCAAAAGTTGAGAAATGCTTTCTCTACCTTTTGCAAAATAATTGATATTCCATATTGGATTCTCAAAGACTTCGATATGGTGAACCTATTAAACCTAGAAATTGTATTCATCCTTTTATGACTGTGGCCTGAGTTCCCCAGCCCCTCTCCTCCTTTTTTTTTTTTAGATGAGATTTAGCACACTCACAGTTATTTAAACATTCAACATTTCTTGAGTATGTATTTTGAGGCCATCTGAGCTCCTAGCTGATTCAGTAACCAGTTTCCTGCTGTGTCATTCACACTCACTACTTAATACTGCCATGGTGAAAATGTGGAGGAAAAATGTATCCATGTGTGTCTGGGAAGCATATACACTTGTACATTTTTTAATACTCTGATTCTATAACATTTCTGAGTTGTGTTTTGTTTTACAGAAAAAATAAAGTGATAAAGCAATCAGGAGACCCAGAGGTTTACTATTGATGCTTAGGGTCGTCTGACCTTGGCTGGCCAATAGACCTACATGGCCAAATTAATTTACAAGAGTAATAATTTTTCAAAAGCCAAGTTTTTTTCTGTATTTTCTGTATGAAACTGCCAATATCATGAATAGAAAGGGAGAACCATAAAGGAGAAAGAACGTGATGTTCAGTTATGTTCGTGTGAACCTAAAGAAACAATGTGGAGGCAGGCGCAATCAGCCGAACTCTAGGGACTTGATGGTGTTGCTTGGAAGGCATCCATACCTGCATTTTGCATTCTTCGTATGTAATCATATTGCCAAAGACAAACTATTTCATCATTTATTGTAAATAACACTTTTCCCCAGACCTATCATAAAGTTTCTGTGATGTATTGTCTTCCAGTTGCAATAAAAATTACTGAGTTGCATCAATTGAAGAAAAGCACCACGTAGTGTTGTGTATGCTGCGTCTCCCTGCACAGATGCTGGGTCGTAACATTTCTGTTTCTTACCTGCAGTCAGGTGCGTGCAGTTTTTGCAGTCTGGTTTTAGGGTTCTCAGCTGCATTTATAGTACCCATCCTCACGCATGCTTAGGTTTCGGTGGGAATCACACACTGCTCTGCAAACACAAATGCACATTTGGAAGCTGGGCTTACCCAGGATCTCAAGAGAATTCCAGCTCTGATGTAGAGAGCTGCTGGCTGGCCAGCCTCCCATCATGAGCCTTAAGACTTGCGGTTTAGACGGAGCTTGCCTTTTGTTTGGAAGTTGTCAAACAATAAACTGAAATTGTACTTTAGGACTGGAACATGCCAGCCCATCCCAGATGCTGAGGGTTACTTGTGATGGCATTCCTAGCCCCAAGACCTGCATCTGCCAGGATTTATTACATCATCATTAAGTGCCCACACCAGACCCTCGCACACGCATCCCCCAGGAGCTAACAAGAAGCTGATGGGAGAGAGGGGAGTGGGAACAAGGAATGGATCACAGGGCACCAGTCACCGTGCTGGAGAAGTAGAAGAGGATGTTCTCATGCATCTCTCTGGTTCCTTTTGTGGTGGGTTTGTTTTCAAAAGGGCATGCCGTGTCTGCAGGTCTTGCCATCAACAGTAACCTTAGTGTAGAGTTGGCCTTTGTCACCACCCTTCTGCTGGGCCCCCACATGCACTGGTGTCTTTGTCCTCCAAGATGCTTGGGCTGTGTCTCCTGTCCTCCTGTGGCCATGGTGCCACTCTAAGGTCAAAGGCCCATCTGTCCTGGTGAGCCTACTGGGATAAATTCCTCCCCATTACACATCTCAAGGTGGTCACCTCTGGGTTTGGCCCTTGTTGCTGCCATATCTGATTCCACTGTTGGAATCACTTTCAAAGGTGTGATGTGTCCTCCTGGGGTACAAGTCAACATTCGAGGAGACTTGATTGGGAGGAAGGGCTGAAATCATTGGGAGCTAAATCTGATGAATCAAGTAATCATCCAAATTGGGTAGTGCTTTAGGCCAAATATAAGGTGGGGCAGCCTTAAAACAGCACCTATAACAGCTATTTTCAATAAGTGACTTTCGAGGGGACTGGAGGAGAGACCCCACGTCGATGATCACAATATCTGAGGGAGCCCTGTCAAAATGATCACACCTGCAGAATTCTGATCAGGCAACACTGTCTTCAAAGTCCTGTGGGTTCTCAGAGCAGAGAACTCCCCGTGGTGTCAGGGACTGGGAAGGCTCCTTTGGGCTTGAAGCTGAGTCTGGATGCGTGCAAGTGAGGGGTGCTGCTGACCCTAAGCACTTTCTCCTTACCTTTTGACTGTACTACCTGATGAAAGTATGAACTAGGAAGTCACCCTCTTTCTAGAAAGTTCTGAACAGATGAGGGCATTTCCAGGAGCCTGATAGGACTAGGAGGTTTTTGTTTATGAGCTAAATGTTCATATTCTAGTTACCCTACTTCCAGATCACCAAATTAAATGGTTCTATATAAGTACGGCAGAAATGTGTTTTGACTTTTTTTTTCATTGATAGGAATACAAAGCCAAGGTTTGTGAGCTGGCTATGGACAATTTTTTTAAAAGACTCAAGTGCAAGGGAATAAACATATTTATTAAATATTATTAAATATATGTTTATTCCCTTGTACTCCAAGTCATTTAAAAATTTGGCCCTAAATTTGGCCCTTTGTATCAACAAACCTTTCTAGTGTACTGTGTCTGAATAATGCTAATAGCAGTCTTACCTTAATTTGAAATTATTCTTGGGCATTTTTGGACTCAGTAACTGTTTTATGAGAATTGTTTTATGTTACTCCATAATAAAGTAATTTGGAGTATATATGGCTAAATCTCCTTCAAATACAGCAACTTATTTGAGAGAGGTCAGGAATTCTGCTTTTTCTCACCTGCTACACATTTCAAACTGACTTCTAAAAAGATATAATATGGAGGAAGCTCATGTTATATCTGGTGGGGAAAGTCTGAAAACCAAGATAGTGGCTGATTTCTAACCCCCCAGGATTCAGTTTCTTCATTAAATGAGTCCAGTCTATTCACATTATAAAACAGGAAGGAATATTAGAGACCATTGGTCCAAACTCCCTATTTTATGTACCAGGCAGCTGAGACATGAAAATTTTTGTCCAGGATAACACACCTGGCTAATCAAGAGCTGGACTTAAAGAGATTAAATTTTTTGTCTTAACTATCATGTCCATGTGTTTGGTATGTAATTATAATCATCAGATCAGTAGGATTTCATAGCTGGCAATTCCCTACAAATACACACTTAACATATCCTAGGCATTTTCCATATAGCTGTAGTGAAAAATGGTTATCTTTTGAAATAATGCATAACATCCTGTTGAGTGGGTATCCTACCATCTTCCACTGTTGCCTTACTTTTCAATGTTTGTATTGGTTTCAATATCTCATTATAAGTAACACTGCAAGGAACATCTTCAGGCGTGTGGCAATTTACAGTCTTTCCACTTGTCTTTCAGTTAGATTGCCTATTGGACTATTGAAACAGAAGTATACCAATGATGCAGCTGTTTATACACCGGCTTTCCAAAAGGCACCAATGCCAACAGCAATGAATGCAAACCCAGCTTCATGGCACTTTCACCAGCATTGGATATGATTTTACTTTAATTTTTGCAAGCAGACAAAAATAGTACTTTGTTACCATTTTAATTTTAACTTAATTTCTAGCAAAATTACATGACTTTCTGTATGTTTGCTGGCCATTTATTATTTATCTTGGTAGAATCATCTGTAACTGACTCTCTAAGAGTTTAAAAGAGAGAATTCGTATTTATAAAGTCCTTGCTACAATGTCCCCAGTTCGCTATTCAATGGTGTCAAGATGCCCAAACACTTCACCTGCCTACAGAGTGTTTGCCATATTCAGACGCTTCTAGTTGTTCTTATATTAAGACAAAATCTGGCTCCCTAAGACTTTTACCTGAAGGTGCCTAGACGATCCTAAAAGGCCACAGACATGTAAACTCAAATTATCTTGCACAGGCAACAATAATGTTGCAAACAACAATAATTTCTAAGTCTTTTTCTGAATAAATATTCCAAATTCTTCCTCCTATTTCTTTCTTCCGAACATGCTCCCATTTGTGATCAGAACGAAGAACTGATGACAGAATTCCAGGTACAGTTCAATGATGAGAAACTGTCCCCACCTCATTCTAGATCCTACATTTCTATGACTGTAACCAAACCACTGATTCACGCTGAAGTTGCTGTTGGCTAAAACAACTAAGTCCTGGCTATTGATGTTCTTCTCCAGATATCCATTTTGAATCACAGAGTAGGACTACATTATCTCTGTCAAATCTCCTTGGATTCGGTATATTGTCTTAAGTCAGTTCAGATTGGCAGTGGGCTGGGGGTATTAGGATTCAGATTTTGTCATCAAAAACATTTGCTTTCCTTCCAGGTATCATTTGATCACAAATTTGAAAATAATGTCTTTTGTATATTGATTAGGACAAAGCTGGAGCTATGTGGCATGGGTGTGGAGCCCTCCCTGTAGGTCAACTTTCGGGCACCCTTCATTGTCAGTCAGTCATCATTCAACTAGTTCCATAGGCACCAGGCTTTCTGAAGTTGCAGCCTACATGTCTGCATCCAATCAAAAGTTTGTCAAGTACATCCTCATTCTCCATCTATAAGTCTGTAGCCTTCTTTAGTAAGAAAGGAAATAAAGTCACACTGTATGCTAATATAAAGTATGCAAATTTGAAATAAGGCAATGAAAAGGAATAAAATTTCACTTATTGTATAAAAATTGAAATAATGTAAATTTTACTTTATTCCTATGGGGGAATTAGCTTTGATTTATGTAGGTATTATATGAAGTCTTGAGTAGCATACCCCTTACATGAAAAGAAACCACAATTCATTCATTCCTTTACTCTGTCTTAGCCCAAACTGGCTTCCTTGCCAAGAGCTTACAAACTATTCTTATAATAATCCACCCAAGATGATCACCCAGAGGGTGACATTGAGGCTATGGATTGATATGGTCTGGCTCTGTGTCTCCACCCAAATCTGATGTTGAATTGCAATTTCCAGTGTTGGAGGAGGGACCTGGTGGGAGGAGACTGAATCATGCGGACAGATTTCCGCCTTGCTGTTCCCATGATCGTAAGTGCATTCTCATGAGAGTTGATGGTTTAAAAGTGTGTGGCATTTCCCTTTGCTCTGTCTCTCCTGCTGCTGTGTGAAGATGTGCTCTCTTCCCCTTTGCCCTTCTGCCATGATTGTAAGTTTCCTGAGGCCTCCCAGCCATGCTTCCTGTACGGCCTGAGGAACTGTGAGTCAACCCTCTTTTCTACATAAATTACCCAGTCTCAAGTAGTTCTTTATAGCAGTGTGAAAACAAACTAATACATGGATCTGTAGTGTGTAGGCATTGTCTTCTGTTTACAACTCGGAAGTTTCGGTATAATGCCTAGTAATTCTTCACTCTGTATGTGCCTATTTAGGGGACTGACCTATTTAGCATGTACTTAGTCTCTAATTATAGCCAAATGAATTTGTATAATTGTCTTCCTTTAAAAAACCATTAGGAGTTTGGTAACTTCTGGCACCTATTTACTTTTGAATAGCTGGCCCTTTACCCAACATGGCATATATATTTAAACATCCAGAACTTCAGTAGACTAAAAAGGCTGTCCAAAAACACGAAAGAATAAATAAATTAAGGAAATAGTTTGGAAAGTTTTAAAATAGATTCTCTCCTTCATTGTCATAGTCAATTCACACTTGTTTTTTATCAGTTGTTATGTGACAATCCTGACAGGTGCTGGGGACACAGATAAAAAAATTTGGCTCTTCAAGCATGATCACGTCCAAAAATCCAGCTGTGCTGATTAATGAGCTTCTCACCAGCAGCTGGTATATCCTTCCCCAAACTTTTCAGTAGTTGTTGGTC